AGCCTCCCGAGTGCTGGGATTACTGGTTTGTGGCACCACATCCTACTATTCTGTGTGTGTGTGTGTGTGTGTGTGTGTGTGTGTGTGTGTGTCTGTCTGTCTGTCTGTCTGTCTCTGTCTCTGTCTCTGTCTCTGTCTCTGTCTCTGTCTCTCTCTTTCTCTCTTTCTGGACTGTGAATTGAACTCAGGACCTTGCAGTTGCAAAATAGGTACTGTGCCACTATACCCCAAATCTTTTATTTCATTTTTTGGTGGTTGGCATGACCTACACTGCCCTAACTAAAGTTGGCTTTAGGTCATAGGGCACCAAGAGCTTGAACCCTGGGTACAAGGACACACAGCCTATATTTCTCTGAAGTTCAGAGGAGTAATCACCAAAAGGAACAGGTACAGAACTGGAGTCAGGAGACTGAATTGAAGTGCTATGTCCCATTAATGCTCTGTGTTATCCGGGGAAGTAATTTGATCTCTGGGCCCACGTACCCCTGTAGAATATACATTCAGGTACTGGGGATCCACCCAGGAGCGCTTTATCATCCCCAGTCCTTTAAGTTTATTTTTCGTTGCCTAGGCTAGCCTCAAACTTTTTTTTTTTTTTTAATGTATTTAGTACAGAGTCTACAGGGTCTCGCTACATAGATCACACTTAGTGACCCTCCTGTTTTCAGCCTCCCAAGCACTGGGATTACAGGCATGCACCACCATGCCCAGTCTCAATCCACCACTCAGTGCTGGGGGTGCGGGATGGGGACGGGGGAATAAGGGATAGGGGGTGGGGAGGTGGCGTGGCACAGCATGATGGGGTTCGGACCCCAGTTCCTGCATCTGCCTAAGCAGGTGCTTTAATCCACTGAGCTATCTGGCCATCCCTTCAAACTTTTGATCTTCCAAAACTACCTGAGATGACAGGCATGTACCACCATTTTCAATGAAAATGAGATGGGAGAAAATGATTGCAAAATTCTCTTCTAAACTCCTTAATCAGGGCCAGGGATATAGCTCAGCACAAGGACCTGAGTTCAATCCTTGGCATCCATGCTGTGCTGGGTTCTGGGTGTGGTGGCACAAGCCTGTAATCCCAGCCCTGGAGAGGCTGAGACAGGAGGATCACTACGAGTCTGACCACACAGTGTTACAAATAAATAAATAAACAAAAGGTTTTTTAAATTCCTTAATCCTTCTAAAGCATCTATAATTTTTTTAAATTTTATTTTATTTTTTAAATTCTATGTCTCCCAGTTCTTTTAGCATTGAACCTTACAAATATCCTGAGTAGGCTGGGGATATGGCTCAATGGGAGTTCCTGCCTTGCCTGCCCAAGGCTCTGGGGTGGATCCCCAGCGCTATCAAAACCCCCCGCAAATATCCTGTAAATACCGATTTAAAAACAAAACAAAACTGAATGTAGTGGTGCACATTTGTAATCCCAACAGCCTGGAAGGCTGAGGCAAGACAGTTGCAAATTCCAGCCCAGTGTGGGCAATTTAACAACTCAGTGAGATCCTTTCTCAAAATTAAAAATAAGTAATTAAAGGTCTGGGATACAGCTCAGTGTGAAGGGACCCGGGTTCAATCCGCAGTGTGTGTAAAATCGTCCTGCGATTACTAATTCAACAGGCTCAACATTCCGTAAATGTGGCCAGAGGCTTTGGACCTTCACAGGTGACCCAGAACTCTGCTGGCCTTTTCGTGCTAGACTGCTGTGGAGAGATCACCGCGGCCACCAGGACCCCAGCTTCCTTCCCCTCCTAGCCACTAAATCCACCTTTGTTGCTCAGAGAGCAGGACGAAGATATGACCCAGAGCATAACTCAGAGGTCACACATACGGGCATTAGAGGAGGGACCCTGGCCTTTCCCAAATTCCAAGGATAGTGCTCGGGGACCACGGTTCCTGCTGTGGGACTAGTGGGTGGTGCAGGGAGTGGGCAGTCAGGATTCCCTGCACGCAGGCTCCTGGTGCCATGGGAACGCGGGCCAGCCCCCTCGCTGCTATGGCAACGTACTCCCGAGTGGTGGGCGCGGGTGCCCATCAGCGAGCTCAGGTGGCGCCCTCTGGGGGAGGCTCAGTGGGGGTGGACAGGGTCTGGGGGCCCAGGCCTACCTGGAGCGTCACAGCCCCGGGAGCTCCTCCGCGCCAGGTCCCACAGGCTCGTTCCCGCGATAACACACCTGACACCGGCCACGGGTCGCGAAGTGTCCGGGGTGCCCTAGGTCCGCAGCGTGTCCCCGGAACTGCTGGGCGCCAGCCAGGCTCCGCCCCGGCCTGCCTGACTGTGGTTCCCGGAACCGCCCGGGATCCCTCGGCCCCTCCGCAGCCCTCGGCCTCAGTGCCCCCGCCGGGTCGTGGCCCGCGCAGTGGCCGTGCAGCCAGGGGGAGTCGTAGGGTTCCTGTCGCTGCGCCCCCAATCTCGGGAGACCCGGTCAAACTGCGCCCGACCAGGTCAGGGTGGGGGTGGGGGTCCCCGAGGGATCCAGGCAGGGGCGGTGTTGGAATCCGAGGTCCGCGCTGCGCAGCCGGCTGTGAGCACTGGCGACTGCCGCGACCTCTGAGCCTGAGCTCTCTAGATGAGCCAGATGAGCCAAGCGGGCTCAGATGGCGGGTCCCCCGCTGGGCTCAGGGAGAAAAGCAGGGTGGGGGCGTCCACTTGGCACGTGGGCAGTTCTCGGGGGACGGTGGCGCCAGCAGTTGAAGGAAGCTGCCCTACGCTGCCCACCGTGTCCGGGGCGGAACGGTTAAAAGGACAAGAGGGTAGTTGCAGAGGGCCGGGAGATAGATAGGGTTGGGTTATAAATACCTCCTTATCTCGACCTTGCCCGCCCTCCCGGGCCTCAGCGTCCTGGTCCTGTCTTCCAGGAAGACCGCAGCTATCAGGGCAGCATCCGCACAACCAGCTCTGGGCGGCTGCTCGGTGGAGCTGGCCGCAGCTGGCAGGTCAGGGGCGCCGGGAAACTGAGGCCGGGGCCACGCCTGGTCCCCTGGCCTCGAGTCCCTCTGAGCTGCTGGGCTGTGAAAGAAAAGGGACGAAGTGGTTATTTAGTTAGATGTTTGCAAAACTGAACTTGTGTGTCTGACCAGTGGAAAAACTGTATCGCCATAATTTCACCTTTCCTGGGGATCACTAGTGTTAATATTTTTCAACATTTTTGGGCTGAGGGTGTGGCTCCGGGGTAGAACAGGTGCTTAGCATGTGTGAGGATGTTGGTTCAATTTAAACACAAGGGGAAAAAATAGAAATTTTTTAAAACTTCAGGGGTTTTTGTTTTTGTTTGTTTGTTTGTTTATTTGAGACAGGGCATTGCTATGCATTGCAGGCTGACCTTGAGTTCACTTTGTAGCCCAAACTGGCCTCGAGTCTCAGAGATCCTCCTGTCTCAGCCTCTCAAGTGCTGGGATTAAGAGAGTGCACCACCCCACCTGGACCAAGTTTCTACTATTAAATGTTACATTGTTTCCAGTTTTTCATTATCTAACTGTCCAGAAGAGCATCAGTGTCTGTAACCTTCCATATTCACTTCCACAACTCTCTCCCCCTCCTTAGTCACCTGTTAGTAGTAGAACACTACGGCTACGGTCAAGGCTGTGGACTGTATGCACATGCTTCAAAAGCAGCCCCCAATATTGTGGGGTGTGGGGAAAAGCACTGCTTGCTAAGGCATGGCTAAATTAGGGTCTCACTGAAAGTCAGCGCTTCCCAGTTCCCAGCACACAGAACACCTGCTCCTCTGCAAGCCCTGTTCCTCCACGGGGTCTCTGTGACCCAGGGGTCACTGGCTGCTGTGGAGCGATTGGTGCCTGATCCAGCCCAGCACCCCAAAGAGAAGCTGCTCTGCCAGCATCCTGGCTCCTGTCTTCCCTCCTTACCCCCCACCCCCTTCAGCTGGGTAATGGAAAGAACTTTCAGGTTCTCTGTCCTGGACGAAGGTCCTAGCCTGCCCTTTTCGGATCTGCCCGAACCTCACCGACCCTTGGGGACTGGCGCTTGCTTCTGGGAGCGGCGCAGGTGCAGGCAGGCAGAGTTCTATCTGTTCGGCTGGGCACTTCATCATCCTTGCTTGGGGAGGGCTTGATTGATGTCATGGCTGTTGCCCCACCTCCTGCCCCTCCCCCACAGACCACCATCCCAAAGGGGCTGACCATGTTCCTTTTGTTCTTAGGCCTTCTAGTGAAATGTGTGGGCTGGAAGTGTAGCTGCGGTTGTTTTTACTCTTTTTATTTTTAATCATAGACTTCCAGGAAGTTGCAAAAAATAGAACAGGGAACCCTATCAGAATTTCTCCCAACAGTGACATTATATAACTGAAGTAAGATAGCCCCAGCCAGGAAATGGCACTATGGCACTAGTACAAAATTAGTAAGTCGACTATGAATCTCTCACTTTTTTTTTTTTTTTTTTTTTTTT